CCGCGCCTAGAGCTGCCGCCCCAGGGAGCCCGCCACGGCCGCGCCCCGGGCACGCTCGGCGGCGCCCAACGATGACCGCTCCCTGGCGGCGCCTCCGGAGTCTGGTTTGGGAATACTGGGCCGGGCTCCTCGTGTGCGCCTTCTGGATCCCAGACTCGCGCGGGATGCCGCACGTCATCCGGATCGGTAAGGACTCCCCGGAGCCGGGGAAGCGGGTCTCCAAGCGCTCGGGCGGGGGCTGGAACTGGAGCCTCAGAACGCGATCCCGAGAGATTTTTTTCTCCAACCCTGCTCAGGGCCGCCGGGGCTGGGTAAATACCAGGGGCTCCTCATGGTGATGAGGACAAAGTTCCAAAGCCAGGGTCACAGGCCTTACTTATTGGGGAGGAGGCTGCCGAGCCGCGGCGGGCGAGGGGCCCTTGGCGCGCTCCTGCGAGGTCAGATCTGCTGGAGTGTGGCAAAGGGCTCCAATTCTAACCCGAGTCGCTCGAGAATTTCGCGGCGACTGCCAGCACGCCTTGGCCGCAGACCGAGTTCTGGGACCCGGCTTCTCCGCGGAGTGGGAGCCCTGGGGAAGGCGCCAACTTCGCTCTTCTCCCCCACTCGCTCCCCGAGGGCCTGTGGTCCCCACTTCGGGCACAGCTCTAGCACTGGCGGTAGGGGCACAGGGTAGGGATTCGCAAGACGAAGGCAGCTGAGGCTCCTCGCCGGGTGGCCGCTCTCAGTCTAGGAGGCCCTTTTCATCCCCGGCGGGGACCAGGGAGGGGCAGCCTCCCCGCTGGTCTCTCCAGCCCGTCTCTCGAGACCCAGGCCCCTCTGTGCCCGGGCAACGAAGGTGGGGGGAAGGGAGCGACCGAGGCGGCCCAGCGCGGCCGGAGAAGGCGGCCGAGGGGCTGCGAGTGTTTTTCAAAGTTAGCCGAAATCCTTCCGCAGCTGGCGGCGGCTGGCGGGTCTGTGTGTGCATTTCTGAGGCTCGGGCTGCTCGAGTCTCTTCTCCTCGGAGACTTACTCTTACTCGGAGCTTTAACTTTGTTGTGGCCGCCCAAGGTACCCAGTGGGCAGTGCAAGTGGCCCTGCATATCCGGCCCAGGGACCGCAGGGCTGGGCCCAGCCGGGCCACGCGGGAGCCTAAGTCGCTGGGGCTCTACGCCTGCTGCCAAGGCCGGAGACTTGGGCTGCCTGGGTTCAGGCACCACCACCAGTGTTCGGCGCAAGGGAGCCAGAAATGTGCCCAGCCAGGGCCACTTTCCTCCTCTGTGGAGCTTCTCCAGGTGCAGAGTCAGGACTGCCACCCCTGTGAACGCAGGAATGAATGTCAAGGCTTGGTTTCCATACTTAAGGCTTTTCTACGAGGTGGTCAGCAACCCCAGCGGGTCTGTCTCCTCCCTGGCTGCCAGACCCTCTTGAACCTGACACCAGAAAAATGGGACCAGAGCAAAGTCCTCAGGTCTATCAAACTGTGCTCCAGGACTCTGGCAGGCAGAGGGAGGCAGGGAAGGCCAGGCACAGGAGGGGACTCTTGGGACAGACCTCGCCCGCGGTCAGGATTAACGCTTTGCATTCCAAGCTGCTCTTGGCCAGCTGGAAATGGCTCCCCAGAACCCAGCGTGGTCACCATTCCAGGGCAGGCTGCTCTTTAATAGTGGATGAGCACGCTCTTTATCCCTTCTCTACTTCCTTCTGTTTTGGGGAGCCCTGCATGGTAGGGTATCCTTGGGAGAGAAAACAGTGACCCTAAAGGTCATCTGTGTCCATCCCACGCTTTGCAGGTTCCTCCCCCTTGATCCTTCCTCCTCAGGGGTGAGATGGGTATGCTCCCAGCCCAGCCTCAGGGATGCAAGTATTTGGAGGCCCAGAGAGACAGGAGCAGATGAAGGAAACCCAACAGAGAGGCACTGCAAAGGGGTAGGATGATGTGTTTCTACCTGCCCGCTCTCATGTGAAATTGGATGAGGCTGGAGGTGCCTCATAGCCTTCAGGGGAAGCCTGGTCCTTCCTTGGGTTCAGCATGGAATAATGTAATTAAAGAATGGCAGAGTCTCCTCTCTTTTAATCTTCTTCGTATTAAGCCCCAGGATTAATTAGCGTGTCGGTCCAGGCCATTTATATCCAGGAGCCCTGCCCCATTTGATTCCCAGCCCAAGGACTGGGGTGCTGTGCTGATGCCAAACGTGACCGCTGGAACTGTGCCAGCCTGGGTGGAGAAAGGGAAGGCTCTGGTACCTCCAGACTTCTCTGGAGTGGCCTGGGGAGCTGAGCTTCATTCTTCTGAGCCTATGTTTGAACCTCAGCTGGAGCCCAGGAAGCTACAGAGGATGTGGCGCAGAGAGAGGAATTGAGAGGAGAGGGAGAGAGAAAGAAAGAATCTCATGCTGAAACCCAAACACACCGGCTTGGCTGGGCCCTATGCCATCTTCTTTTCCCATCCCTCCCACCCCTGGGATCCGAGGAATCTGGCTGGGGCTGCGGAAATCAGAAATTGAGATCCCTGAAACTGGGCTCCGGAGCATGCTGGGTGCTTCTGGTTCTCAAGATTGGTGCCGGGGTTGGCTGAGCTTGGAGCTGAATCCTTCTCTAGCAGCCAGGCATCACTGAGCACTGGCTCAGAGAGGGTTTACCTGCAGGTGCAAGACAGGCTCTCTGGGCTGGGGAGCACTGTACCCGCCCCCTCTCTTTGTGCCTCTTTTGGGGGCTGAAATTTCCTCTTAGACAAGGAGATGGATAGCTCAGCAGTGTGACAGAGTGTTCAAACAATCCATCTTGAATAGATGAATTGCATTGCTCTGTCTTTTTGTAATTGTGTCTATCAGAGGGAGAGGTCAAGGCATTGATTGCTTGGATGGTTTGCAAGTAACAAAGGAGAGTGAGGGAGAGAGAGTAATTGGATTGTAGTCTGCGGGAAAAAATGATCATTGATTATTTCATATGAATATGTGAAAGATCTATTCTGCGTGTGATTATCAAGCGTTGCTCGTTGAAGGTTTGCAAGGCATATTGTTCAGCATTTTATTATTATTATCATCGTTATTATTGTTTGGATGGATCCTGGTCTTAACTTATGGAAAGCAGTTTAGTGCAGGGTTTTTCAGCCAAATGGGCTTCTGTGACTTGTGGGGACATGGATTTCCAGGTTACATGACCCAGAGCTGGGCTTGGAGTCAGGAGGCCTGGCTTTTCTGCTTTATCTGCTGCCAGTTATTGGGACCACTTTCATCAAATCTCACTCTCCTTGCTACCGTCATCCTCAGTTTCTCTATCTGTAAACAATTTGGTTAACCTTCAAGGTTGGTATTGCGTGGATTCAAAGTTGCCATTAGCACAAGCAGGAAGAAACTGTTAGAGTCATTGTAGGTTTCACAGTTAGATTCTCCCTCGGATTACAGACATAATTTAACCCCATACATTGTGAGCCAGTCTGAAATTTGAAAAGAGAACCACACAGTGGTAGCAGCAGCTGGGGAAGCCTGGCCAGCCTTCTGTGTGATGAGGAGCTCTGGTAGATGGTAGTGATCTCCAGCCAGTCAGTAGAGAGGTTCAAAGCCAAATGACTGCAGAGACATAAAGCAGGTGTGTGTGCGTATGGGGGGATGGGGTAGGTGGGAGGGACCAGCTCTAGAGTATCTGAACATCTACAGGCAGAGCAGAACTAGCTGCAAGGTCCTGAGCTTCCTGGTTATACAAGAGCCCAGAGGACAACAGCAGTCCTTCCCCGGGGACTGAGGCCCTCTCCCCCAGAATCCCTAAACTAGCCCCATCTGCCACTCCTCTGTTCGCTTCTTGAGTTTAGGAGCCACTGCGTGTAAAACAATGAGAAATTTCTCAGTGACTGGTGACACGCTGAAACATCTCGCTGCTGCGGAGGAACAGACAGCAGCTGAATGAAGATCAATAGGGTTTTCCCCCCTGGAAGTAAATAGCTTCAGACAAGACCTGGGAGTGGCCCGAGGGGCCCTAGAAAGCATTAACTTAAGGAATTTCTGCCTCCGCTTTTCAGCCCAGCTGCTCCTGTCAGCCAGGCTTTCCTCTTTCTCCACCTGGAGTTTAATTTCTTCTTGATGCCGCCTCGCATTGCGCTAAACTGTCTTTTGATGTCAAGAGGACCTGTGAGATATTTGTGAGAGTGGTTAATGCAGGATAAGCCAGGTACCCCAGCCTGACTAAGCTTTTCCAAGGTCACCTGCACCCCCCTGCAGCTGGGCATGACACTGGGCTGAGTTCCGAAGCCCAGCCCAAGACACTATGTTGAAAGGGCTTAGAGGGACTGCTTTTCATTTCCCTACCCCTCTAGGAATGCAAGCCTGCCTGACTGCTGTAAGGATCCTTTGTGGGGCAGTGAGCCACCTCCCTCATTTCCCACGCTCACACAGGCGCTGTCCCAGACCTAGGAAACAGCTTCCTGCTCTAGGGCATGGAGAGGATGCACAAATGCCCCCGTGTGCATGAGAACTACCTCTTCTTGGGGGAGGGACAAGGAGTAAGCAGGAGAGGCTGCAGGCTTCATGGTGTGGGAGATCTGTTTGTGCTCAGCAGCTGGGACTGTGCTTCTGATCTACTGAGGCCAAGCCTCTTCAGCCTGTCACAGTTAGCTGCCCCTGCTTCTTCCTCCCATAGCTGCAGACACAGCCCCTCCCTGCCTGCTCAGGGCCCTCCAGGGCTGATACTTTACTGTGCTGGGCAGTGCAGGTGAGTGGGGAGCTCCCCAGGCTGTGCCTGGCCATGGGGACGACTGATGCTCCAGGAGCAGGTGCTCCTCTGGGGCCAGCACCCTTCAGGCCCTGGCTTGCCCTCCTGAGACTGGTGTGGTGGGCTGGAGCTCCAGGTGGACAGATGTGCTAAGGGCCTGCTGTGGAAATGGAGCAGATGCAGATGGAGTTGGCACCCTGGCCTTGGACTTGTTTCCTGGAGTTGCTTTTCTCCCACGTGCTGATTCCTCAGCAGCAGCACCAGAGGGCAGTGTGCCTGTGCTGAGACGGTCATCTTCCTGGGGCCCCACCAGGGTCTGGAGCAAAATCAAAATAATAAAACAATACCATGGCTCCAATGTACTGACCACTTATAAGCTGCCACATTTAGTGCTGTGTTTTTCAGTGACCAGTAGTGTGCACGAATAGTAAATGCTCAATAAATGTAACTGTTCCATTTTTCTCATCATCTTTCTGAATCTTCATCACCCTGTGGGCATTCTC